GCAGGGAGGGAAAGAGCCCTGCATCTGCATTTTTAATAGCACATCAGAAAATACTGCTGAAAATGGGAAAACATGAGTTGACATCTGAAGGAAGTATTCAGTTTACCCCCTGCCATTTTCAGTTATCCCTAGGTATTTACCTAACATAAAGAGATCTTAAAAGGAATAATCTTTGAACGGACCTAAAAGTTACCTTCCTGTCTTCAGGCATCCCCTGGCCCCAACAACCTGAGGCCATAACTCTGGACTGGGTCAGTTGCATTAGGATTATCTCCAGCCTCCCAATTTTAAGCCAGGGGAGGCTGAGATTCACTTGCATGTAGCTACATAGAACTGCAGGGCAGAAGTTAAGACCTGAGTCCATCCAAACCTAAATCCAGACCTTCCCACTGCATTACAGGTATTCACCTTCATTTTATCCATGGTGGACACAGAAACACAGAAAACTCTTACAAGGGCTTATCTCACACAAAGAGGAAACAGCCTCATGGTAAGAGGGACAGGGTTCCCTGGATCCATCAAAAAGTTACAGGCAAGATTTAGGATGAAGGTGTTCCACACCCCACATAGCAGATATAGCCTGGGAGACAGATAGGGAAGGGTAAAAAAATTAACAAACAGAAACCTCAATTAAATAGTTGGGAGACCAGGAGGGGGAGCTCTCATGCCTGCAAAAATATCAGAGCCCAAAGGCAAGCAGACAGACTCTTCTTTCCTGCCAAGGACTCAGCCAATGAAAAGCCATGGGGCTTCCTGGTGGCACAGTGGTTAAGAATCCGCCTGCCAACACAGGGGACACGGGTTCGAGCCCTGGTCCAGGAAGATCCCACATGCCGCGGAGCAACTAAGCCCGTGTGCCACAACTACTGAACCTGTGCTCTAGAGCCCACGAGCCACAACTACTGAGCCCACGTGCTGCAACCACTGAAGCCCGCGCGCCTACAGCCCGTGCTCCGCAACAAGGGAAGCCACCGCAATGAGAAGCCCGTGCGCCGCAACCAGAGAAAGCCCGCGCACAGCAACAAAGACCCAACGCAGCCAAAATAAAAAAGTTTATTTTAAAAAAAAGGAGAAAGAAAAGCCATGGACTCTGCTTACGACAACAGCCCTCGCAAATCTCTTTTCCCCTCTATAAGAGTTCTCCTTCCCCTGCCCTTTGGAGACATACACATGGCTTGCCATGGCTGCAGACCCTGAATTGCAACTCTCTGCTGATCCCAAATAAACCCATATTTGCTGGAGAAATATCTGCCAGTCTGTTTCAGATCAGCAAAGGGAAGGGAGTCAACACATTGGGGGACCCCTGGAAGACTCAGAAAGGCAAATTATCCACATGACACATCTGAATGGATACTAGCTGATACCTCTCAGGCTGAGCAGATGAGGACTATAAATAAAGACCCCAAAAATCAAGAATATACTATAGGAAGGAAACTTAAACTTGTTACACTGAGTATTTCACGGTAAGGGCTTAGTAGTAAATTTTAATACACCTTTAGGGTGTTCTTCATCTGCCATGGTGCTGAAGTTATTGTATAAAATTGCCAAAACTAATCAAACTAAACACCTAAGAAAGGGGAACAAACCAAAGTCAGAGAAAGAGCCCTGGAAAGCTCACCCAGCCTGCATCTACAACATTTGGAGAAAATGGTGCAAAGAATCCTAGTTTGGAATTATACATTTTTGTGCATTCACGATCAGTATTTACTGAGGGCCTGACAGGACCAACCTCCCTAAACATCTCAGCACTCAGCCAGTTAGTTCACATCCCCCATCATGTCATCAGCTTCTCTGACAAGAGTCTCCCGAGAGTCTGTCTAGACACCAGGGGCAGTTTCCACCACAGCACTCCCTTTGCAAGGTGACAGTTCACCAGCTGAGACGTGGTCAGCGTCGGGGGAGCTACAATTTAACCACTCCCTGATGGGCCAAGTGCATCTGGCCAAAGACCCTACTCAACCCTCATCTCTGGGGACAGGTCCCACACTAACCCCCAAACTGCTGGCCTCTGGGACGAGGGTGGGAGAGAAGTGCAGAGCACACCCCAGAGGCCTGCTGTGCAGGACAGAGGGAAGAGTCTCAGCAGACTGGACACGGTTCATAATTTATGCCACTTATTTCCAATAATGGGGATGAGCAAGAATTATTCAATAAACCATGATAGGAAGATGGGCTGTTTCAGAAAAAATGGGGCCTATCTTATATCTAACACTAAGAGAAATTCTAGCTGGTTTTATTGTTAGAAATGAAACAAGAAGTAAAGTAAAATGCTTACAGAGATTTAGATGATGCTGGGATTTAGAAAAAGTATTACAAAAGCAACAGGAGAAACCAAAAAGAAAAGTTTGATATACTTAATGATATATAATTTAAAACCTCTAAGCTAAATTAAGAGAAATGAAAATCTGGAAAATTATAAGCACTATTACACGTTATTTCAAAAATATAAATACCTCATAGGAAAAAACCTATTAATACACAATTCAAAAAAATACAAATAAATGGTCAATAGACACCAAAAAAGGTTCCATTTCTGCAAATCAAATAAATTCAAATTAAAACTGTAGCCAGCATCAACCTTCCATCAGAATCACCTGGAGTGCTTACACAAGAGGGAAGAGATATGGGAACATATGTATATGTATAACTGATTCACTTTGTTATAAAGCAGAAACTAACACACCATTGTAAAGCAATTATACTCCAATAAAGATGTTAAAAAAAAAAGAATCGGGCTTCCCTGGTGGCGCAGTGGTTGACAGTCCACCTGCCAATGCAGGGGACACGGGTTCGTGCCCCGGTCCGGGAAGATCCCACATGCCGCGGAGCGGCTGGGCCCGTGAGCCATGGCCGCTGAGCCTGCGCGTCTGGAGCCTGTGCTCCACGACGGGAGAGGCCACAACAGTGAGAGGCCCGCATACCGCAAAAAAAAAAAGAATCACCTGGAGTGCTTGTCTAAACCCCATCCCAAGAGTTTCTAATTTTACAGAACTGGCCTAGAATGAGTGCAGGAGAATTTGCATTTCTAACAAATGCCCAGGTGATAAGGATACTGAGTACCATACTTTGAAAACAGTCGTCCTTTAGCTTGGTTATAGAGATGTATCACATACCATGACCTCCAACAGCTGCTAAGAACTTCCCTTGAGAAACTCCTGCCGACAAGAACAAAGATGTGTTTGCAATCGCCTTCTCTGTGCGTTTACCAATGAGTATACAAACAGAAGCAGCTCAGTACTGCAGTTACATACACAGGGAACACAGGCTCAGAAGCCAGACTGACTGGTTAACAGCCCCTCTCCACAACTTACTAGCTGTGTGACGGCAGACAACTTATTCAAATTCTCTGCTTCGGTGCCTTCAGCTGTACAGTGAGAGATAATAGGTCCTTGCCCTCCAGCAGGAAAACTGGAAATGGGTGCCTACCAAAATCAATGATAAGTCCTCACCTTCCCATTTCCATTGGCATACATTTTCAAAGTCCACCAACAGAATGGGCTTGGAGAGTTCCTTGCCCTACCTGAAGTTACTGTAACCACACCCATGTTTCTTCTTCTAGGCCCCTCTTGATCCTGAAAGGCCACCAAATGGCCAAGAGACATAGCTACACAAACTGAATACACCACCATCAAAACAAGCATAGGAGCTCCCATCCCCGGGGGATCCCCTAGGCTGTCCCATTAAAAACAGGAAATAGAATATATGGGAAAGATGAATGGGTTCGGGTCCTGAAACAAAAGATCTAACAATCAAGCAAGTGTGATTAAAGCCCAAAGGCTGAAGTTAGTAGTCCCAGCTACTAGATGGAAACTTCAGTTAAGAGCTTTTCTCTGAACCATTTTTTATTGGTGTTTCCTATCAACTCAAGGACTCTTCAGTGATTTCAAGACCATAGGACTCCTAGGCAGACCACCTGCACCAAGACCACAGAACACTTCTCTGAAGACTAGAGACCTGGGTAAGACCCCACAGACTTCAGGGACCCCACCCCCAGAGTGGTCCTCAAAGGTCCTAGAAAGATTCCCAATAGGGAAAGGGCTGGTCAAATACACACCCCAGTCGTGGCTGTGAGTCCCAGGCAAAAGCAAAACGTGTTCTCGAATAGTGTCCCCGTTCATTAAATACAAATTAAGAGTGTTTTTTAATCCACTAGAAATTTGCCTTAACTACGTACCAGGACACTGAGAGACGCACACGGAGAGAGGGAGGGAGGGAGACAGGGTCAAAGACACAGAGGGAGCCCGGAGGAGTTGGAACGCTGCTGTCACATAAGACATAAGGAATATGCTGAAAGGTGGGGACACTGTTGGAACACGGCGACTGGTCCAGGGCACTAGTCACATAAAGGAAGCTGTTCATAGGCTGCTTGCTTACGAAAAAAAGAAACAAGGGTGCAGTTCTGAGGTGGAGTCGGGGGCTGGGGAGGGTGCAGTCCCTCCTCCCGCTGGCGGCCGGTTCCCAGCGGGCAGCCTTGGGTCTCAGCCTCCCCGCCTCCTGCTCCCGCCGCTCCCGGGAACTGGAAGCTGGCGCGGCAGCGAGCGGAAAGGCAGGGACACCCGGTGCCGCCGCAGCCAGGTCCCAATCGCCGGCCCTCTCCCCGCCGCCGCGCGCAGGCGGGTACCAGGCGGCTAGTGCGGGGCGGCCCCGCCGGCAGCAAGAAGCCCAGCGGCCTGGGCGCCAGCGGAAAGCGCTTGCTCGCCGCAGCCCTCTGCCCCTGAAAGGCGCCAGGCGCCGGCCCGCGGCGGCAAGGGGTGTCACGGCTCAGGCGGGGCGCTCACCAGAACAACACGCGGGAGCAGAGGTTCGCGTCCTGCAGCGGGTTGGGCTTCACCTCCGGGTACACCGGCAGCATCTTGCAGGCCAAGACGGGCGCTGGCCGGGGTGGCGCTGCTCCGGCGTGGGCGCCTCTCCCGCTGCTCCTGGAGGCGTCGGCTGGGATGCTGGACCTCAGGCTGCCGCGCGGATCCGCGCTCCGGGAGCCAGAGAACCACTCGCTTCCGGGAGCGGAGCGCTTGTGGCCCTCCGGGTCCCCGCCTCCCAGGCCGCGCCGCCTCCCGGGGCCGCCTGGAGGAAGCCGGCAACGCGCTGCTGCCGGATCCCTGGGAGCCTAGAGCTACAGGCCGCGTGCGGCGGCGGCGGCACAAAACGTTGGCCGCGCGGACGCAGTTGGAAGCCTGGCGAAGGTGTGAGGCAAGGCCGCCGGCGCCTTTGGATGGAGGCGGGTAGGCCGAGCGCAGGGAACACCGGGCTCCGCGCCTAGGCGGCCACGTGCTAGCACCTGGCTGCAAACTCTGCCGTAGTTCTTGCTGCCAGCCCAGGCACCCACCCAGAAGGTGGAGAGGGGAGGCGCCATATCTGCCCGCCCCTGCTGCTCAGAAACGCCCCCTCGGCAGCCACTTTCCAAACGCCGGGAGAAAGCGGGCAGAAGGCGTTAGCAGTCTGCCCTCTGGGCCCCCTGCCCTCATCCTGACCAAACTAGAGTCCTGGGGGAAGGTCTCCAACCTGCGGCCGAGCATTTGACCACGGACAACAGCAGGGTTTAGCACAGATTATGTTCGTAGAGCTGCAAGAGCTAGAGAAAAGTAACAGGGTTAGAACTCAAATGATTTTGGAAGATGACTGCATGTTGCCACTGGGGACAGGCTTTTAGCATCTCACATTGCTGCACTGTGCGAGGGACCTCTGTGAGCTTTTTGCTGCCCTCTTAGATGAGGAAAGGGGAATATGGGGAGAGAGAGACTGCCTTATGATTTCTTTCGTCATGTGCTCAGATCCTAGTGGAATAACAGTGACATATGCTTACAAAACACGGTTGTTCGAATTTCTGGGGACCCGATCTCACTTTTAACTCTAACAATGCCCTATTTAAGAAGGCATTATTATCCCTATTTCACAGATGAAAAAGATGAGGCTTAAGGACAGGACTTGACCAAGGTCTTAAAATCAATAAATGTTGAATTCTGATTTGGACTCAAGCGAGAGTCCAGCATGATCTGGTGGATGGACAGTGTGTGTGGAAAGTACCTAGAATGCACCTTGAGTGAATGAATGACTGTAGGACTGAATGAACAAAATCTTGGGCTCCCACTCATAAGTGTTTAGTTATTTGTGTGGCCATCTTACCAGCTCAGCAGTTTCTCATCCCTTCTACCCTAAATGAGGGAAGATCAAAGTTCTTGGTGCTTATAACAAGATCACTTTGATAATTTCCCATGTACCTTGGCTAAAATGGTGTTATTAATAATGGCTTTTAACACAACATTGTAAATCAACTATACTTCAATTAAAAAAAAAAAACAACGGCTTTTAGCGTCAGTTATGCAAGACGAATAAATCTGTAACTAAGCACAACCCTGTGGGGTCCTTCTGGGCGCAAAAGCCTGTCTTTGTCCCCTCCTTTCTTATTTGCAGGATAAATACTTCAGCCTCCTAGACCTCCCTGTTGCAAACAGCAGATTCAAATAGTTGCTAATCATGGAAGTAAGAGACTGCAGAAACAAAGGAGGAACAATCAAGAAACTATAGTGCAGTGATTAAAGCAGGATCCTGGTTCCTCCTCAAGGAATATACATAAAAATATCTTTGAGTTCTTCTGCAGGAAATAAAGCCCCCGCCCAGGTGGAGGATGGTAACTTCAGGCTGAGCACAGGATTCCTGGAATACTGCCCTGTTACCTCACAGCAACCAATCTGAAGAAATTCACACACCCTGCAGCCCTCACCCCAAATTTTGCCTATAAAAATGTCTCCCCAAAACCATCTGGCAGTTTGCAGTTTCTGAGCATGAACCAACCATCTCTGCCCATGAGTCAATTTTTTCAGTTTCCATTAAACAACCATCTCTGTATTGTAATGGCACTTGTCGATCCATTTGGGTGTTTTATTGCATTTTCCTGCATTGTTTAAAATAAATACATGGAAGATGGAGAAAATAGTATGCTAATTCAATAAAGCAATTAATGCAAATATGGAGAGAGTATGAAGTAAACCAAAGGAGGCACCTCTTCAGTCTGGTTTGGATGCATATTGGAAGTAAGCTGGTTGATTTTATGTTCAATTTTGAAGGAAGGGAAAGGAATTTTTTTGAATCTGTGAAATGCCTATAGCAGCTTTATTCATAACTGCCAAAACCTGGAAGTAACCAAGACATCCTTCAGTAGGTGAATGTATAAACTGAGCCATCCAGACAGTGGAATATTATTCAGCACAAAAAAGAAATGAGCTACCAAACCACGAAACAACATGAAGGAAGCTTAATGCTTACTACTAAGTGAAAGAAGCCAGCCTGAAAAGGCTGCATACTGTATAATGCTAACTATATGACAGAAACGCAAAACTATGGAGTCAATAAAAAGATCAGTGGCTGCCAGAGGGTGGAGGTGGGAGTGAGGGATGAACTGGTGGAGCACAGAGGATTTTTGGACAATGAAAATACGCTGTATACCATAATGATGGAAATGTCATTATATATTTTTCCAAAACCGTAGAATGCACAACACCAAGAGTGAACGCTAATGTAAACTATGGACTTTGGGTGACTAGGATGTGTAAATGTGGATTTATCAATTGTAGCAAATGTATCACTCTGGTGGAGGAATGTTGGTAGTGGGGAGGCTATATGGAGTGCGGGGACAGGGCAGATATGGGAAATCTCTGTACTTGCCCCGCAAAAAAAAAAGAGAGAAAGAAGGGAAGGAAGGAAGGAAGGAGGAAAGAAAAGGGAAAAAAAAATCTATGAAACACTGGTAAGACACTGATGAAGACTAATTATCCAAAAGGTGAAATGTTATCATAGTGGAAATCGATTTTTTTTTTAAGTTATAGATTCGATTCTGTATTAATAAAATATCCCCACTGATCCCTTAGAGAATTTCAGTCTTATATAGCATCTGATAGAGATACAGCTTTCTTCAACTCAAGAAAATTAGAAGGGTAGACTTAGCTTTTCTCCTGTCAATTTTTAGAAAATAATGTATAAACACTACCAAAGTTATCATAATAATCTCCTTTCCATCCCTTGCAAATTACCATAATCGGGTCCATTTTTTTCTTCATTAAAAAAAATTTTATTGTATATTAAACTAAGAAAAATAGAATTTGAGGTAAGAGATTTATAAAATTAATTTGTATTGCATATTATTGTTTAATCTCTGCTTTAGATACTCATAGATATATAACATTCAGGGGTTAAAAAGCTGAAGCACTCTTCCTGAACATTAAAAACTTTAGAATTTCTTTTTGGTTTTCTGAAGAGACTTCCCTTCATTCCTTTTATTTATTTTTTTTTTTAATATTTAGTTATTTATTTTGGCTGTGCCGGGTCTTAGTTGCAGCAACAGGATCTTTGTTGCAGCATGCATGCGGGATCTAGTTCCCTGACCAGGGATTGAACCCGGGCCCCCTGCATTGGGAGCTCAGAGTCCCAGGGAAGTCCCCCACTTCATTCCTTTTAGATATGAACTCTCAGGGAAGCTGTAGGTATAGAAGTAGCAAATTGCATCTAAATGAAATGTAAGTTTCATACCCTCACAGAGCTTACAATTTAGCAATTTCCATCCTTAGAGACACACCTTTGAGTGAAGGCTTTTATTGTAATGTAAATAATGGAAATAAATTCCATTATGTTTCAATATTAAAAAATGTTGACTTTTTTGATGGGCATTTTTCTAAAATGTATTGATGATGGCCCTCCATTCTCAGAGTGGGCAGAACATAATGAGAAATGTTATTAATTATTTAGTATCATTACCAGCATGTGGTATTGTGTCATTTGGTGCAATACTCTTGGGCCTAATGAAACATAGGTATAGGGGTTTACTGATTTATGTATATATACTGAATAACAATAAAAAAAACAAAATTTTTTACGTTTAAAAAATTCACGTCTATTTTTTCTACATTTTTATTTCTTCTCTTCCTTTTTTTAATACTATTTTACTTTTAAATGCCTTTTTTTTTTTTTTTTTTTTTTTGGCTGCGTTGGGTCTTCATTGCTGTGCACGGGCTTTCTCTAGTTGTGACAAGTGGGGGCTACTCTTCATTGTGGTGTGTGGGCTTCTCACTGCAGTGGCTTCTCTTGTTGTGGAGCACAGGCTCCAGGCGCGCGGGCTTCATTTGATGTTGGCACATGGGCTCAGTAGTTGTGGCTCACAGGCTCTAGAACGCAGGCTCAGTAGGTGTGGTGCACAGGCTTAGTTGCTCCGTGGCATGCGGGATCTTCCCGGACCAGGGCTCGAACCCGTGTCCCCTGCATTGGCAGCCAGATTCTTAACCACTGTGCCACCAGGGAAGCCCCTCCCTTAAATGCTTTAAAACCGGCTTGTAAAGTAATATTGAATAGGCTTCAAAGTAAGGACCTGAGGCTCTCTGCTAGGAATAATGAGTTTGTACATATAATTTTGGCAACTTATATGCCTCTTGGCCTCAGTAGTCTTCTGTGAAACTGAACTTGCCTAAAGAATGACAGCTGGAGAGGCGAATGTTATCACAAGGCACTTTGGTTTGCTAATGGTTTATAAGTGTCTCTAAAGGGTTAGTAAATTTTCCCTCTTCTTTTAATGTGAAGTATTTTAAGATTGCTAAAAATATCGCCAAATTTTATTTTTTAAATGTGTATATAACCCCGATTATATAAAATATTGATTTTCCTCTTGGGGAATATCAAATAATCATAGTGGAATGAAGGAAGAGGAGAAAGAGAAGAGAGAGAGAGAGGGAGAAGCCAAAGGAGATAGAGGTGGGAGAAAATGTGGTTACAGAGAAGTGCAGGAAAAGCTGGAACCTATGCTTGTCAGAGGCTAGTAAGTTGAAGGCTGAAGAGTAACAATTGGATTTGGCAAAGTGGAGGGTTTGGGTGACTTCGGAAAAGCAGTATTTTAAAGAGAGATAGAAACACTATAAAAATGTGTTGAGCAGAGAACAGTGTGTGAAGGTGTGGAGACAGTGGTTATGCACAACTCCTGTG